GTGCTGTATATCTAATTAAAGCTTCCCACCAGTCCATAAAAAGACCTAACATTTTAAAAAAGCAGTTTGCGTTGGAGACGGCTCCAGGGCAGACTGGAGAAGGGGTTTCTTCATTACCAATAAACATATTTGCTTACATTCTAAATTAAGTAATACTACATTACTTTGTACTGGAGCATTTTTAAATATTGCCGAAGCATAATCAGATCATGTCGCCACCTTTATGGTGTGGAACCAAAATGGGTCATGTTCTTGCCCAGCAGCACTCCGGCTTCTCAAGAAACACTGGGGATGAATAAATGATTTACCGCATGCCCAGTACTGCACCCCTCTCTCCGGAAGAGAGCTGGAACTGTCTTTATTTACATCAACTTCTTATTCTGTTCCTTTTCATTTATTGTTCTGCTATTCTTACGCCCTTGTTTCCCTCACAGAATGTATTCAAAACCGGAGTTACATAGCCACAATATAAATAAATACTGTCTTCCGAGGGCTTTGCTATTACAGCCATTGTTTTGTGGTTACTGTTATAGCTCAGGGGCTACAGACCTGGCGGTGGAGGTGGAGGCCTCCAACCACGGGCATTCCCTTGGGAGACCATGAGAGCGGCATTTCCCCCCTGGATGGCGATACCTCCCTGAACGGAAAAATACATGGCCTTCCAGGTGTCCAGCAACAAAGGAACGAATCCCCACAAACCAAGTTAAGGGCTCTGGCCTAAAGTGCTGCTAGAGCGAGAACGGCAACGTCAAAGTGAGATGATTTTTTATGGTCTAAGTCGGAGTGACCCCGATCCCAGAGTTGGAGCCTTGATTCAGCCCTGGAGGGACAGAGGCCCCACCTGAGGCCCACACCCTGGGGTGTCCCCCAGCCAATGACCCATCACCCCATGTTAGGGCACTGGGGTAACTGGCAGTCCCCCTTTAACAGAAAACCTTGTTATTACCCTGAAGGGTCGCACCCCCTGACCCTTCATTCTTGCTTCCCAGTCCTCTTCAGGCGTGCAAAGTTGGTGCTGAGGAGAGAGTCTAGCGCAGTGGTTCTCAACCTTCCTAACGCCGCGACCCTTTCACACAGCTCCTCATGTTGTGGTGACCCCCAACCATAACATTATTTTCGTTGCTACTTCATAACTGTAATGTTGCTACTGTTATGGATCGTCATGTAAATATCTGATATGCAGGATGTATTTTCATTGTTACAAATTGAACATAATTAAAGCATAGTGATTAATCACAAAAACTATGTAATTATATATGTGTTTTCCGATGGTCTTAGGCGACCCCTGTGAAAGGGTCGTTGGACCCCCAAAGAGGTCGCGGCCCACAGGTTGAGAACCACTGGTCTAGAGGAAAAGGCTTCTGACATTGGCCAACAGAAACATTTGCGGAAGACATCTAGATTTTTCTTCTCCGTTCAATTTAAGCAAACTTGGAAAATGCAAGCAGCTTTTTTTGGTTTGTTTTGGCTTGTGTCCTTTGCTAGGGGTCCTTTCTGAGGGGAGGGTTTGGAAAGAAGGGAGACGCAGGCAGGGAAAAGCAGGTCGGTGAACCCTGGCATCAGGTAAGTCCCTTCTTCCAGGAATGCGGGATTGCAGGACGCCCCGAGCACCACGCTGCCATGTCCAAGGTGGGAGGCAGGAGCCCAGGCCCGAGCCGAACCGTCCAGGGCCACGGTGAAGGCCGGCGTGTGACTTCCTATGTGTTAATACTTTCCACGCCCTTCTGCCTTTCCGCGCCGTTTCAGGAGGAGGCAGCCTGGCCGAGCCGGGCCTCCCGCTGGCCTTTGAAGCCAGAGCTGCATTCAGATGCTGAGCTTTTCTCCTTTTGTTTAAATAGCAACAACATTAAAATTCCTTCCATTTGGGTTCCCAGGGAGAACGAACTCTAGAGGACAAAAACTGTGTACCTATAGATGAGTGTATATTTAATCTTTTTCTCTCCTTGATTAAACCTGGAGGAAGCTGGGGTGATAAAGTGCGAGCCACCTTCAGCCCCGGGACACAGACTAGTCCCCTCCCTCCGATGTCCCCCGACAGCTCGCACTGCTTTTCTCGGCCATTATCCCGAGTCCCTGGTGCTTCCTCCTTCCCGGTCCCCGATCCTCCGCGGGCTCCTCGCCGG